AGGGAGGAAGGAAGGAAGGAAGGAAGGAAGGAAGGAAGGAAGGAAGGAAGGAAGGAAGGAAAGAGGGTAGATGCTGATAGTAGATTTATCAAGTAGATTATTATACAGGAAGAGGCGGGCAAAATATACAGGAAATAGAGAAATGTGAACAACTGTAGATATCCACACACACTTAGGTGGTATGCTTTTCTCATTTTCTTTTCTTTTCTTTTTCAAGACAAAGTATCTCTCTGTAGCCCTGGCTGTCCTGGAACTCGCTCTGAAGACCAGGCTGGCCTCCAACTCACTGAGATCCACCTGCCTCCAAGTGCTGGGATTAAAGGCGTGTGCCACCACTGCCCGGTAGGTGTATAGTCCTTCAGTGATGGACTATAGTGTGGAAGTGTGAGCCAAAGAAACCCTTCATTCATTTAAGCAAATCTTCATTTATTTAAGAATGTCTCAGGTTACATACTGAGGGCAGATCACACAGTCCCTTATGAAAGAACATTTAACAATTCCAACAGTGAGGACCTGTGCAAGAGAAGAAACAGAGGCTAAGGAGGGGTTAGGAGACAGACTCGGCCCTGGGACTCGGCCTTAACCGGAGGAGAGCTGCCTGTCCTGTCCTGGCTCCTGGCAAAGCCTCCTGAGCCGCAGGGAAGCACTGGAGGGCTTCTCAGAGTCACTTTTATCTGGAGGCTAGGGAAACTTTTGTTGAGCGTGGCATGTGAAACCGGCTTTAAAACACGGGAAAGAACCCTGTCTTCCTACAGGACCAGAAGCTGTGCGTGCCCAGGTAACTGGGGGGACACAGAGGGTGGGCTGAGGAGCAGCCGCAGGCACAGGCAGCCACGGGAGCAGAGGGGACTGCCCTGCCAGCTACTGGAAGATGAAGCTGGGGTGCCAGGCCTGCCTGGGCTCTATTCACAAATTTTTCTTCTTGGGGTTAGTCGAATTGACCCAAATAACAAACTATTGTTTTTCTAACCAAAATGAAATTATAATAGAGGCTGAAAGCAGAGCAGCGTTGACTGGAGCTGGGGCGACTGGAGAACAAGGAGTATGGGGGGTGGGGGTCCCTAAACCTGAGGCATGGCAAGAGGCCCCACTTTAGGGAAGGTTCTGGAAAGTGCTAACTCATTTATACAGGTGGTTCTCGTGAAAGGGAAAATATGCCTCAAAAAGGCTGTCTATGTTGCCTGCTGGAAGACGCAACTGGGTTAGAGGGATAGTTAGCAACACACATACTGAGGACCCAATTTCTTGCTGAGGACCCGATTTCAGCGCCCAGCACCCACATCGGACTTACAGCAACCTGTGTGTAACTACAGCTCCCCCCAGGCACTCCTTGGTCTCCTCAGGCTCTCTC